GTGATTTTGCAAATTGAAATATCCTTGTGAAAATTCCTGGTCCTGTACCTGAGGTCTTCATTTCATATGCAGTCAACAATGCGCAATCTAAAGCGTAGCTACACCATCACAACGAAGCTGAAGGTGCTAGGACTTTTGGGCACCGACCAACAAGTGTCTGGCATGATAAGCATTCCACGTCGCACCATCCGTACGTGGGTCAACCAAAAACGCGACATCCTTGCGTAAGACCGGAACAAAAAACGAATGAAAGTTGATCCAGGTGGGCGTCCCGAGTGTCTCGTTGACTATATTAACCAAATGCGAGCCCAAGAACGGGCGCTAACAACGTCGCTTCTCATTAACTGGATTAAGAGGCACCAGGCGGCTTGGCTGCGTTCCTACATCGCACGCAAGAAACCCGGCACCGGGTACCAAGGGCTCCTGCGACTGCTGCAGCGCTTTTGTCGCCGCCATGGATTTAGGCGTCAACGACCCGGCAAACAGAAGCACAAACAATCCGTCCTAAACGAAGTGCGTGATGATTTCGCTGCTGAGTTCCACCAGCAGTACCACGGCTTTGGTCACGATTGCGTCTACAACGTGGATGAGACCGGGTTCTACTATGACATGCCACCCAAGTACATCTGGTCTGCTCGCGGTGCCGACGCGATGATATCAAATGGCATCAATGTAATCCTGCTCGACAAATTTCAGTCTCATGTGAATGATGCCTCGTACCACATTGTCGAAGAAGAGCTAGGCAGCTTCCTGTCGCGATTCCCCCCAATGCTACGTCCATCTGTCAGCCACTGGATTTTGGTGTGATGGCTATATTCAAGCGTTACCTTCGGGTCGAGTGGCTCACCGAGGAGATGATCGATGGGGAGGACGGCGACGATTTCGACACCCCGACAGCCACTGAGAAGAGGAAATCGATGGTGAAACGTGCCATCGCCGCGTGGGGCCGTGTGACAGCTACCGAGATTCGCAACAGCTTTGTGAAAGCTCTACCATCTATTGAGGAGTAAATGAACATACAATGATTTACCCTTGTTGGCGATGTCATAACCTCAATCTTGATCGAATATAATTGTGAGTATTTTATAATTTTAGAAAAACTAAACTTGATTTTAGTAATGCAATACTCAAATTAATATAGTTTTGGGAAAAGCCTGACACTACCCGGGAATTGAACCCTGGCCCCTTCCTCTATCCTCTTGGATGCCGTCACACTAAACCGTTGCGCCACTACGTCAGTGCTACTACTATCTACGATGTTGGCTCGTAGTTACTGTCATGATTGGGATATGCCTTGTAAGATCGGATCTTGAGCAAGTTGGACTAGTCTAATTTTCCAAGCTCATCCACCTGTAAATATTTTTTTATAACCTGCAATAATATAGCAATCGAACTTCGCAGAACGTTAGCCAATAAAATCGCGACAATTCCCAACCTCTCAAAGGCAACTGGTGGCGTATCCTCGGACTCCGGTAAGTGGCAAAAATGCAACCAATTTTTGGAAGTTATCCCCATCTGTTTCACTCGTATCAGTATAGTTTCTTCTATATATTCCATTGTGCCACACTGCGCCAGTTCGGGCAAGACAGAAAATTGAAAAATTCCCTCATTAAAATAGTTTTGACCCCAAATCTGTTTCAATAAGTGATCAATTGACTGTCCACTAGAATTGGCTAAGACATTCCTCCGCGAGGGCCGATACTAGAACCACATGTTGTGGAACCGCTTCGCCAATTGTAACGCGCCTGCTCGACCAGGGGCGGTGTGTAATCTTCGGTTTTTACTTCGCTAAATGCTTCATATGGTGTACGTCATCTATAAACTACCAACTTTTCACAAAATTTTCTGACTTCTATTTCATATTCATTACTCAAAATTTCAGGAAATTGAGACGACAGATCTCAATGTGGTGAAGAAATTCTACGTCTCAGATTCAAATTTGGTGATGAATTGGTCCAAAAATAGATATTTAGCTTGGATATTTGGCCATAGGTGTGGCCGCTGAGATGTATCTTGAATTTTTATGTGACTCTTATCTGTATAATATCCGGAGGCACTTGGGACCTTTAACCTCCCACTGCAGTGATAAAACGCATGAAATCGGCATTTAACGCATTTTGTTTTTGGTTTTAACTACATTAATTGTACGTTAAATAATAAAACCTCCACTCTTTGATTTGGCCAGTTGGAAGTTTTTCGATGATGTGTACCATACTAGTACCTCGTACAACGACTAGCGATGCCGTTAACCCTGGAGATTTAGCATCGTATGTACCAAGGGGGTAGGACGGAGCCCCAGATTACAGGACTACGGGCGAAAAGTTGTATCCGGATGTAATAATTCACTTATTGAAACAGGGGAGAGAAAATAGCTCAGTGGTAGAGCATCGGTTTCTTAACTCAAAAGTCGTGGTTTCGATCCCCGGCTTCCCCAGATTATTTCGGCAAAGATTCATTCATCCCTCCCCTGGGGAATCCGGAAAACAAGGGCTGCATACGAAGACGGGGACCGAACTTCACAGCCACTAACTTCGCATTACTCACGCTTTGGTCCTAAACATCGTGCTGATATCGTGCTGATAACACAAATTAAAAACGAAGAATGAAAAAAATTAAATTATCCTTTCGGCCATTATCGAGTACATCGGAATTTCGAACATGACAATGCAAAGAACAATTCATATCACTACAACACACACCCCAAGCCATGTCATCGCCATGACACATAGGCCTTCGCTTCACTACTTCGCCGCAATTGCTCGCTCAATCGCATTGGTCATTTTCTAGTGGTCTTCGGCATTCTTCTTTGCCAACACATACGCTTTGACCACTACTTGGCATTTACGCATTAACTTCTTGAGCGGCTCCCATGATGATTCGATGTCTTCAAAGCCTTCCCAGAACACTTCCACCATGAAGTCGCTCACATCCGGTAAAAACTAGTACAATGCCTTGCTTGGATACATGTTCAAGGAATTCTTCTGGGACTTCAATGCTCGCTTCCGCATACATCTTCACACGTGACGTTTGGGCTTCGCGTTCTTCATGTGTCACGGAGAATTCACCCACTGACTTGACGCGGTACGAGCCGACCCATGTAATGAGCAGTTTGGGATGGTAGCGCTCATCCACCCTTTCCCATAGCACGTAGTCACCTTCGGTCACGCGGCAGGCGTCGAAAGTTCTGTGGCTTTCGCCGCCTTGCTCGTTTGTTGCTCGTTGCGATTCAGCACTTCCTTGTGCATCGCATGCAAAGTTGTTCGCAGTTCGTTGATGTTCTTCTGGATGTCCTTCTGTTGTCACTTGACTTCGCAGAGATCCTTGTTCACGCCCACCACAACGACGTCAAAATCGCTGGGTTGAGGGCCGTGAAGAGTTCCATGGGGCCTTCTTGGATAATGCCACTGCCGGAGTTTGGTTAAGGTTGGACTGCACCACCGGTAGGAGGTAGTCCCATTCCTTCTCATCTAACTGGTAGCCTCGTAACATCTTGGAGGATGTCGCTATTCATGCGTTCCACTGTGCCGTTCCGCCATGGACAATAGGCCAGTGTGAGGTCGCACCTTAAACCTGTGCGCCAACGCCTTCATTGCCACGATCTTGAAGTGGGTGCCCTGGTCACTGACCCAGACTCGTGGTATCCCAAACCGCTTCGACCAGTCCACCAATGCATCAACACACACTTGACTCGTCGGGTCATCACAGGCCACCAACTCGCAGTAGTGTGTAAGGTCGTCCTTCAGCACCAATACATACTTGGCGCCGCTGTAGGCCTCCCCATGTATAGGTAGTCGAAGTGAATTCCTTCGTTGCGTTCCTTTGCGTGCCATCTCGGTTCATACGGTCTGTGGACCACCCTTCCCCCTTTCACATGAGGGCACAGTAAGCATCCCCAGAGAAATTCCGCGGCTCGATCAGCGAGGTGGTCAAGGTAGAATAGGCGCCTAATCGAAACCACCAGTGCCACGTGGCACGGTGTCCTATGCTGCCACAGTGGGCAACGACCATGATCCGTTAGATCAGGTCGTCGGCCGCAGTTGGTATGGTGCAAGTCACCTAAAGACTACAAATAAATGCATTAACTTTCGACAGCTATTCCAACTTTGTATTGATATTATTTAGGAAAATATAACGTAATAACGATAGAACTGGACAAGCCCAACAGAAGTTACGGTTCAGATTTTCGATGATCGAGTAATAGAATTTAAACCAACCGGCCTTTTTGTACGGAGATATATGTAACCAGGTACATTTTGGCGATATCAAGTATATCTTGTTCTTTGTATACATCACTTATCCGTACGAACGTTTTCATTGTATCCGAATTATTCACAATGTTTAACCTAATTACCAGGTAAAAAACGTAACTAATAATGATTTAACGTCAACATTTCGTGGGTTTAACTTAAAGAACCGAGGCGTTTAATAGTAAAACGTATCCTCCTGAGGATGGCCGATCTGTAGTCTTTAGATGACTTGCACTATATCCATTGGCGACCGTCCACATTCCATAGCTCGCCATCATTCGTCGTCCTGGGCGGTCGTTCACTCGCATGCACCTGGCGGATGTCGTCGACACAGGGCCACACAAAGTCGTCGTTCAAAGGGTGCAGCTTTCGTTGTGGTCGTGCCGCTTTCTTCGTCTTTGTCAGGCGCCGTTTCTTCGTCCAATTATGACCACGTCGGACGAGTACACGTTTCGTCACCAGAATTGGAGTCGGTTGTCCCCAACGACTCATCATGTCCACCCAGACGTTGTGGACAACGATGTGGACAATGTCATAGCGGTAGCCGCCAATAATAGCTGCCCACCGCATGAGCTTCCCGCGGGTGCGTGCTTTCCACTCTTCCCCGGGGGCAAACACATGGAGCAGGCTCTTGTGGTCGCAGTACATGCGAAATCCAGTAGGTCGCACCAGCAGGTAGTTGAGCTTCTCGCACGCTCGTGCAATCGGGCACGCTTATACAGTATTACTGCCCATTACTTCTACGCGGGCAAACATACCGACTGACATAGGAGTAGCTCATGGTGTTGTTCTTGGATCGCTGTCGCTTTGTTGAATTCCACCACTTGCGTAACCACAATTAACCATGAATAGTCGGTGGCATCCGTAAACAGGCACATCGTTGCATTTTCACGAAGGTGAGTTAGTTCAACCGACGCCCGTAACTTGGACTTCACTGCATTGAACGTTTTTTTTCGCCGTCGGTTAGTTCCAAGTGAACACCAGACGCGATGCGTTTCTTCTTGCCCTTACCCTCGAGGGCCTTAGTCAAGCACTGCTGGAGTAGGTCCACCGTCTGTGCATACTCGGTCATGGAATCCCGCAACCAATGGACTGAACACACAAATTGTTGAAAGTCGCCCGCGTTCGTAGGGTAGGCAACGGCACACAAGTGCTGGATCCGTTCCGGGTCCTGCTTGACGCCTTCGCCGCTGATAATGCGCCCACACCACTCACTTGACCTCATGAGTATACAACTTGGTTTTGAATGGACTCAACATGAAGCCGAAGTGCGCCACTCGATTAAAGAATTTCTCGAGGGCCACCACATACGCCTCAAGATTCTCGGCGTATACAAAGATGTCATCAATCCAGATCAGCATGTTCTTAAACAGCATGTCCTGATAACACTCCTCGTTCGTGGACTACACGTAGAGCGCGTTGTCCACATGACCGTGCATCACCCTGTCGGAAGTATACACGCAGCCATTGAGCATGGACGACAGCATGTCCCAGTTGTCTTCGTGCAGCGGGAACTGCCAGAAGCACTTGGGCAGGTAAAAAAAAACCATTGCCTTCATCTCCCCCAGTTTTGGACGATGGTTGCCTGGAACGGCATGGTACCGGCCTTGGGCTTGATCGTGGAGTCGACGACCCGGAAGTCGTTCGTCAAACGGTAGTTCTTTAACATGTCGTCGTCTGTCCACTGGTCTGCTGCCTTCAGTGTCTTGCGGCCATCGGGCTTCAGGACGGGGTTCACCGGACTGCACCATGCGCTTAGCTAGTTGCACTTGATGACACCCGCATCGCAAAGTTCTTTGGCAAACAGATTAAAGAACCACTCTTAAAGGAGTTGTGCTTCCGACCTTACTTAGGGGTCACCTTCAATGGTTTCACCCTTGCTGGGGATCATACCCATCGAACTTGAGCCGCTATATGTCAGGTTTTGTAAGGACACGCCACAAACCTTGCACATTTTGGATTGGAAATTGGTTATCGATGGCCTCGTTGATAAGGTCTTAGAGTGCCGCTTCCACCTCGTCCTTGGCTTCGGGAAGTTGGGTCTTGCTTGCCTTGATACGGAGGGTGGAACGATAGGTGAGGTGTATTAAGGAGCTTATACAGGCAAAGCGTCTTTAAGTGTGAGGATCAACCGGGGTTGAAGGCGAGGTCGCCGTCGAGAAAATCGTATAGGGTGGCGATATCGCGTGGGGGGAGTGGCGTGTTGTGTTTGGTAGGGGGAGACGAGAAATCCCGTGCGAGGTCTGGCGCGCGTTTGGATAAGAAGTCCGCGGCTTGATTGCCGTCTCGGAGGCGATGAACCCATGTGCAATGAAAATGTGCGGCTCATTCACGTGCTGAGCGGTAGAGTTCGCGCAGGCCGGGATGCCTAAGGCGGTATATTCCTTGCATCTGGCGTAGAACGAGCTGACTGTCTCCAAAAATGGTGAGGTGCGTGAAACCCATGTCCGCGGCAAGCTGGAGGCCGTGAATCAAACCATCGTATTCGGCGATGTTGTTCGTGGTCGGTGCCGGGAAGTAGTGCGCAGTATACTCACAAAGTAGCGGCTCGGCAGGGGGCATTGCGACCGCTCCGGATCCGCCACAACCTTCGCCCATACGGGCAGCTCCATCGAAAAACACCACACCGTCCTTACGCATTGGGGTCTGTCCGCGTGGAGGAGAGGGGCGGGTGGGCTAAGAAGAGACTGCACCGAAAGACTAGGTCCTGATACAGGTCCGCGCGGAGGCGGTGTCGTCGTTGGGCGTGGTAGGTGGTTAAGGCGTGGAAATGCGCCTGGAGGAGGTAGGGGAAGGAAACCGGCGGCGGGATACGGCTGG